TTCCATACAAAGGACAGATTTTTATGTTTAGAAGAGTTTTTGTTTGCTTTGTAGTTCAGGAAGCAGCTAGATAGATATTTGGGTGAAGATAAAAGGTAACTTAGAATTGGATTTAACAAAATGCATTTTAAAACTGTAAGATAAATGTTTTACTGGAATTCATAAAAATCTAAGGAATGAGAAATTCCAGCATTCTGTTTCTGGAACCCCAAGAAGCACCATAGACTCCAGGATCATTCTTCTTTGTCTTGCTTCTAAATGATTGCATTTCGCTCTTGGGTAGCCCTCTCTGGTTTTATCAAGAAGCCCATGATTTGTCACTGGGATTTTGCTCCACTAAGTCGGTTCTTTGTTGTCTGGTCTTCTCTATTTGTTATTTACTTTTGATTCCTTGCTATGTGGCAGTATTGCAGATTTATCATTTCTTGGCTTGTGATCAACATTATTAGAAGATGGCTTTAAACAGGTGCCATCTTAGATTTTACTGGAAAGCTACTGACTTTTCAAAGATGACAATGGACTTTTTGTCCAGGAAAACAAAGCTGTTTACAGGAAGCAGTGTTAAGCATGTGCCAATGCATGACTCCTTTTCTGAGGAACAAGCCTAATCTAACATGTTCAGAGGAACTACCATAATGGATCGGATCAGTACTCCATGTAGACCAATATCAGAAAGGATTGCTTGAAAAAACACCTGAACAAAAACTTGCAGTAATCAGTTTCTGGATAACATCCTGTCAAGAAAACCCTCTTCCTTGTCTCTCCATAGTTAAGGTTTGGGTTGTGCCCGGAAGACGGAATGGTTTATATAATTGCCAAAGCTTTTGATTGTCTTTTAATTATGACTCTATATAGATATCTAATCCTTTTTGGACACTTTGTATCCTGCTAAACTCTTTCCCTGACAGTCTCTGGCAATGAGTTCCTTGGCAAATTGTGCATTGTGTGAAAATGGGGGGGGTTTTTGATCAACTTTGAATTTTCCACCTTTCTGTTTCAGCAAATGTCCCTTTTGATCCTGTATTTTGAAAAAGGGATGGTTTAGTCTAAGCTGTTGCTGATTTCTTTTTCTATATTCATTTTTATCATATATCCTTTTTTGTCTCCTCTTTAATGTGTGTCTAACTCTTTCACTCTCTCCGTGACAATTTTTCCCAATTCCCAAATCTTTCTTGTTTCTTGTCTCTGGATCTGCTGTGTTCTTTGTGAAACAGGGTGAGCAAAGCTTGACCCAGTGTTCAGTGATAAGGAAGTGCTATTGACTTATATCAGGGATGTCCAATTTCTGGGCAGTGGCAGCCACACAGTGCAGGCCACAGCCCAGGGGGCTGCATGCCACAAGGGCTGGCCACCCCTGCCATATGTGAGCACCCTGCCCAGCAGGTACGTCTATGGGGGAAGGGAAAAGGGTGTGGGGTGGGAGGTCAAGCCCCCCACAGTGAGGCAGTGGGGTGGAGGCAGAGGCTGGGGTGAATGGGACCCTGGCTGGGCTGGGTAGTGGGACAACTGGAGCTGGGCGGCTCATTCAGGGGTTTGGGGGGTCCTGTCACTATGTGCACCCTGGCAGAGACCATGGGGACACGTGCTGCACTTTGCAATCTGCTGCAGCGCCACTGCCTCCAGAACCACACAACACCACATGCGTTCCACTGCCAGGTGGGCAAAGGGCACGGCGCAGCCCAACAGTGGCAGACGCATGGCATCGCATCACTCCTGGGGCAGCTTCAGCAGTGCCCACAGTGCAGCACCAGCAACCTCTGACCCGTACAGAGATCAGGGAGGCACGTGCCTCCTGGGCCTCTGCTGGGGTGCGCATAGCAGTGGGAGCCCCCTGCCTCCCCCTGCACCCCTGGATGAGCCGCCCTGGCTCCAATTGTCCCACCACCCAGCCCAGCCGGGGCCCCATTCACCCCAGTCTCTGTGTCTGTGCCACTCCCTCCCTTACCAAAGGGGCTTCAATCTGTCCCCCACTCCCAGCTTCCCCCCACACTTCCCTTTCATAGTAGTTTCATAGTTGGTAGGGTCGGAAAGGACCTGAGCAGA